CACACACACACAGTCTCTTGTCTGTCTCAACAAAGTCCTCCCTCTCTGGTTGGTATAAGAACAAACCAGATTGTCCTCTCCTGTCTTCTGCTGTGCATGTGTCCATTCATGTCTTCATGTATTTCATTCACTTGCACAGACGTGTGAGCATGTGTGTGAGTGATCTCCTTCTGCAGTGTGTGTTTTCTCTCTCTTTCAACCCTGTGCTACTCCAACCACAGCACCTCCTCTCCCCTCCTCACTGAATTTATACCCCATCAGCCTCCTCCCTCCCTCCTCCTCTCTTTGCTGTGTTACTCCCAACCCCCTCCCCCTCTCTTAGTCTCCCTGCTCTCTTGTCATTGGGTGCTGTGTGGGGTGATGGTTGTGGTTTCTGTTGGTGATGTCTCCAAGAGTGTGTACCGGCTTACTGCTTCAGAACTGTAGAAGCTCATGTTGATGTAGCAGCACCTTTAGATTATGATGGATAGATGGATAGATAGATGGATAGACATGTGAAAGAGAAGAAAATATCCATGCTTTTTTGTGTCTATCACCTTTCATCTAGGAGCTGCTTCCTGTAGCTGCTATACGACTGAACTGGATATTATCAAGCTCATCTCAACCAGATTTCACAAACCGTCCTCTGACAGTCCGCACACAGGACCAGTTCATAGACATATCCTATTTTGGACTAAGCTGCCGAACCAAGACTCTTCGCTCTGCTTCTTGCTGCTGAGGTGAGATGCAGCAAGTGCATGATAACACACGTTTAGATAGTGACAGCACATTACGGACGATGATGTGAAATGTGTATTATTTGGTATGATTACAGCCTTCACATGTACACATGTTGTAATAATAACGAGAGATGACTGTATGAGAATCTGTGAGGCATAGCAGCACTCCAGCTCCGGCACTGCTGCAGAATGAAAGGCTGGCTACTACGATGAAACAGCATCACGCCCTTATTGGTGGAGAGAGGTTCCACTAAAGAATACTGATTGGAAAGTCCAGCTGTCTGTCCTGTAAGAGAGCATGCTCCTGCAGAGATTAAGGTGGTCATATGATACAAACACAACCACCCTGGAAGTGGCGTTGAGTAGCGTGTTTGTTTAGGTGTGGTTCAGAGATGATGGGAGAGCGAAAGAGGGTGGAGTAGAGATGGAGAAATGCTGCAAGAGACCCTGAAAAGGAGCTCTTAGAGGCGTATACTTTTGATGTGCAATCAGAATGAACTCCTATTTAAGCTGCATGTGTCAGAATGCAAGATACTGATACATCACAAAACTAAATCAGTTACTTTTTAATACTGTAATGTCATTGTTGCTGAATTTATAAATGCGCTTCTGTATTACCAACAGAAAAATGGGCAGAAATTCATAATCAAAGTAACGAAGAACGATGAAGAGGATTACATATATTTGCTGTCATCCAGAGTAGAAAAAAAACAACTAAAGCCAAATATTAGTCAAATTTCAGTGGATATAAATACAAACTCACTCAGAAAAAAGTTTGGTCTATGAAAAAATAATACACAGAAAATAAATGGACATTGACTTCACAATAGCAACGTCTGGAATTATATATTTTCTGATGCCTGGATTGAGACACAGAGAATGAACTTGGCCAGTGTTCATGGTCATATGACTCTGGTCAGCCCTCAGCTATTAGGGAGAGAGAGAGAGTATAACAGACGAAGAGAAACCGAACAAGAGAAAACAAAAGAGGGGAAAAGGGAAATGACCAGGGTAATGCAGTGAACTGTACGATCCGTTCTACCACAGTTTGTCCCGTGTGTTGTTATGGATCTATCATTGTACAGCTGGCGCGGATGCAGGTTTTTTCATTCATAACATGGTGAGGTGGAGGCCCACTGGATGTAATCCTCACAAGCCGCTACTCAGGAATAAGGTAAATCTTTGGTAAAGAAATTTTAGTTTAGGTTGTGACTTTACTTTTTTGTCATGAAGTAAAGATGTGTATCTGAGGGAAGAGCCTTTTGGCAGATATTATTTACGACAGTGCAGGGTGGTGAATATGTGAATGGAGTTTGTATGGATAAGGGAGGAGTTGTGAAGAAGAGAAAGGGTATTTTGAGGAAGTGTTGCAGCCTAAAAATCGAATTTTCATCCATGAATGATATTTAAATTATGAATGACAGTTCTTTTCCAAACAGCTTCTCTTGTGTACGTACTGTATATCATAATCATTTGCATCTGAACATCCTGTTGCCAGTTGATTAGTTTTCCTAGTTTTACCTCCTCACCACCTCAACCAATTTCCATGAAAGTTTGTGCTTCCACAGTTTGTCGTGTGGTGGAGCATGACCTAAGGAAGAACCATTACTTCTTGGTGCAGATATGGATCAGGAGGCAGATCTAAGATTTTTTTCCCCACTTTCTTTAACATTTGAGTTTGAGTTTTCAGAGAATAATTCAGAGATCATGATGAAATAAACATTCATGTTTAATGGACTAATATATAAATATTAGTGTGTGCAATTTGGTGCAGATCCAAGTAAAATTCTGGATGTAGTGTTTGAAAGTGTGATTTCATAAAGCAACTGTTGGGTCTGCATGGAGGTATGTGCTCTAGAATGACATTCTAGTCTTTAAAAAGAGAAGAGTTTGCATGCCAGAAGCATTTGTTTACCTTGAATACTTTATTGACGTTGATGAGTCTTATTCAGTCTCACTCTCTTTGCTGTCTCTTCTGTTCCAGACATCCCTGTCCAGCTCAGCAGAAGTCCAGCACATGTGGAAACTGGGGTTAATCCAGAACAAACTGGAAGAGCCCACATCTGGAACAGTGCAATCTGAGTCACACCAGTTTATGTTAGACCAGACAGGACTCAGCGGTCTGCTTGATCCATAACCTCTGTGCCAAGGCAGTGGACATGTACTCCCCTCAGAGTCTTCACCGCTGGGGCATCACTCATAGTGAGAGCATGGAGCGGTTAGCCTACAGCCAAGGTAAGGGGATTATTGCCATTTGAATGACATATCATATCTGTTTTAAGGTGAGGGCCATAGAATTTAAAAACAGAGTTACATCATACAGACAAAACCCCTCACATACACACTAACAATGATTGCACAGAGTCCAGTGACAGACAGACATGGCTCACATAAACCCCCTGAACTCTTTAAACAGCTGTGTTCTTAAAGGGATTTTGATTGATTCCACAGAATCAGCCGATCGTAAAGATGTAGGTGGGACTTTCCACAACTTTGGTGTTGTTGTCTCAAACGTCCTCTTAAGTCTTAAAATTGGTGTGTGGGATTTAAATAGTCTGATCTGAGAAAGTGAGTGGATGGATGTGGAAACTGAATTCTCTGTACTTTTCTTTTCACATCTCTTCCAACATTTGAAGTATCTTTGTACCACTCCAACTTATTTCTTGAGCTATGAGCTGTAATGAGCTGTTATACTGAGATCAGTATAAACCGGAGTCAGATGCTCGGATGATAAAACCGATGGTGCTTGTGATCATAAGGAGCCAGGTGTTGTTCTGACTTCCAGCAGCAGGGGGCAGCAGGTCCCGAGCAGGGCGGTGAAACCATTACGTAGTTTTCCTTTGTGTCTTGTGAGCGTTTAGACCCCGCCCCTCCCTCCGGAGGGTGCAGCGGCTCCACGAGCAGCAGCAGCCGAGCACCGCCGATCTCTGCCGGCTGTAAACAAACCGCCAGCCCGCCACTATGTACGGAGAGGAGCCGTTCTCCAAGCCGCGGCTCCCCGCGCTGTGTCCCCCGGTGCTGACGTCCACCACCGACCGCTGTCTCTGCTGAGCCCCCCGCGACACAACGGCTCGTCTCTAAACGCGACACCCAGACCTGTCATCGCTTCGGCCGGGGCGGTGCTATCACAGGTATCCGCGTGCTAATGGTGGCCCGCTAGGATTGTACGCCCAAGACTGCTCGGTTAGCGAACTGTCAATATATCGGCGTGTTGTCGCACTCGACCCCCGCGTTTAGCTGCGCTCACTTGTCCGCGGAGGTCCGCGAAAATGGCATCGTCCGCAGAGCAGGACCTGGCTCTGTCTGAGGCGGACAGCAGCAAGGAGAAGACTCAGGTGTTTGGGATCCTGAGGCTGCAGGAGGAGAAGTGTGCCGCCGCTGCTGCTGCCGCGGACAAAGCTCACAGTGGCAGCGCGGTGAGAGGAGGAGGAGGAGGAGGAGACGGAAGATGGCAGGCTCCGATCTTCGCTTTGGCCAGAAAAGCGTCTGAGACCATTTCAGGGAGCATTCACGTCCTGCCCAAAGTGTCGGAACACAGGACGTCTCTGCCAGGGGAGTGGGCCGTTCAAGGTAGAGCAGCCATCTGGGGACGGTGTGTGTGTTTGTGTGTGCGTGCATGTGCGTGTGTGTCTGTGTGTGTTGGGTGGTCCCTGGTAATTAATAACAGATCTGATGACACCCAGTTACTGATTGTTTCATGTCTTTAACCCTGATCAGCCTGTCTACACATAATAATGTATTATTGAGTCAGGTGACAGATGCAGCACAGTTACAGAAACACTTAAAGCTGGTGTGACAAACCCAGTTGTGTCTCTTCTCTGTGTGTTAATCTCACTGATCCTCACTGTCTGCGTGTGGACAATTGGTTTATAATGGATGAGCTCTGCTGTCGTGGTACATCCTCATCTGATAGCAGAGTGCTGCTTCACACCAACTCCACTGCCCGAGGCATCACATGCTGCACTGATTAATACAGATGGAGAATAATGTAAAGCTTGCTTTCTCCTTAGGGAACATGACACTGACATGTTTTTTCACACTGTGTCTCTGTGTTGTGAGTTGTGCTTGGTTATTGACAATTCTATAATTCAAATGTAAGAGCTCCACTGTGCATAGTTTCCCATCAGCCATCAGCAATTACACTCTCAAAAACATATTTCGTTTCTGACAGCTTTCACATGTACCTCACAGAATTTCATTGGAAACGGTGTTGATTTTGTGACTGCAGCTTTTAACAGAGACAGAAATTTAATGACACTAAATTCTAGATCACAAAGTCAGTTTTACGGATGCGTGAAGTTGCAGGTTGTCTAGGGGTTAATGTTTTTTTCCACTATATCCTCAGGGCTCTCTGCCCCAGGGCACCTGGCAGTTGTGTATCGCCCAAGACATCATCTGTTGATTTGTGGGCTTCCTCCAGGCCAAACTGCAGGGGCAATTAAGCCCCTCCTATTGATAGCAAACATTGTTGTGGACATTTTTCTGTGCACGTCTGTTGTTTGGTTATACATTAACCCAAAAGTCCAGGTGAAGAACATTTAAAAAAAACCTCTTCTCTGTAGGAGGGAATAATCTCTGGCCTGGGAGGTTCTCTAAAGTGTTCTATACTGTGGATTATATAGTGAGTAGTGAGTGATTTTGGACTCCACCTTGGGTCAGGTTGAAACTGAGTGGAACCATGGAACCATATGACGTCACAAAACTAATAACAATAACAGGTCCAGAGATTGTCTCACCCTAACAAGTGCTCCAAAATTGAAAGGACAGTGGAGCTGTCAGTCATTTTGTCCACACCAACATAGTCCTGAGGAGATGTCTGCTAAAAACAGAAAGCTCTGTGTGGGTGGACTATTGCAGTGCAGAGAACCATATTCAAAAAAAGCAGTTTCATTTTATTTAGTCAGTTCTAGCAGCAGTTTATTGTAGGTACAGTATTGACACACTTGTTTTGCTACTTGCAGAAGAATGTAGGTACTGAGTGTTGAATTTGTTATTCAAAGGCTAATTAATATCCAGCTTTAGAAAGATGATTGCAATTTGTTCACATATACATACATTATGAAGTGTTTCTTCTTTTGTCTGAAGCTCTGTTCAATTGCACTGACCTGACACAGAAATGTAAATGTACGTTGATGTGCAGTGTGGAGTTTGCCTTCACCGTATTTGCATTACATTCATTAAGCCTCCCTGTAGTAAGACTTTTTTTTTTTTTAACATAAAGTTTAATTCATGTGTTTTTGTCCTGAAGCCCTGCGAGACCCCATGACAATGGAGCGAGCCAACCTGCTGAACATGGCCAAGCTGAGCATTAAAGGTCTGATTGAGTCGGCTCTGAGCTTCGGACGCACACTGGACTCAGACTACCCCCCCCTGCAGCAGTTCTTTGTTGTCATGGAGCACTGTCTCAAACATGGCCTCAGAGGTAAAAAGGAGAAGGGCTGTTTTAAATTGTGTCAGGTGTGGGTGCTGTGTTTATGTGTGCTACCCCTGTTTTGATATTCATATTTCATGTCCAAGCAGCAGAAGCGTGTGTGCATTTGCCTTCCTCAGGGCTTTGTCTGACTCCTCTTCATTTCTCCTGTCTCCAGTGAAGAAGTCCTTTCTGGGCTTTAACAAGTCCCTGTGGGGTCCTCTGGAGCTGGTGGAGAAACTGTGTCCTGAAGCAGCAGAGATTTCAGCCTCTGTACGTGACCTGCCTGGACTAAAGTAAGGAATACATCTCTGTGCACACATATCTGCACACACTCCCGTACACATGGGTAACATGAGAACCAGATCAGGGAAGTACCTGAATGTCGTTTATTTCCACTTCACCTTTCCCCTCGCTGTTGCCTCACTTTTACTCTTAGTCTTTAAGCTCTTTGTAGAAACTTGAGTATATGCGTTTTCCAAACCTGTAACAAGCACAGTCAGTGTTATTTTATTATATACCTTTTAAAATCAGTATTTAATGTTGCAGTTGTATATTTACCATTTGTGAACTTGTGTATCTTACTACAGCTGCCTGTGACTATGACTAACAAAAACATCAACTTAGCAACATTAAAAACCCTGCTGGAACATCCTATGTCAACATTCAAGCTGTGTCGCCAAATGGCTGTAGTCAGCAGCCTCCTGCTATCGCTCATTCATGCACATGATTTACATTTCATGCTTTACTGTGTTAACCAGTCATCAGTCAAGTGAGTAATATTCGTTTCTCGTACGATCTAGTAAATGGGGAACCTTCATGTTGTTTTAGATGAAAAACTGTGTCTGTTTCCTTTACTGGTGCTGAGTCAGACCAACAGCTGTGTTGCAGACGCAGGGCAGCGTTTTTCAACAATAAGTATGGCCTGAAAGGTTTGTTGCAAGACAGTGCAGACTTTGCCCGTACCTGCAGTTATTCTCTAAGATAATGTTAAGGAATAAAATCATTCCCTGAGTCAGAGTGGAATTGGATGAGCCCACACAACTGTAGATGGCATTAAATAGCTCAGGTCAGGGGGAAAGAAATCTGTTGAAAAGGTTATTGTTAAACATTAAATGAAAAGAATGTCTTGGTCTGGCTCAAATTATGAGAGACCAGAGGATAAAAGAAAGTCACTATGTCCCAACTGCCACCAGCTTAAAACCCTCAGAGCCTCCCTACAATATAACCTTACAATTAATGTATATGATTAATGTATATGTGTGTGTGTTGTCATCCAGGACTCCTCTCGGAAGGGCCAGGGCGTGGCTGCGTCTGGCTCTCATGCAGAAACGGTTGGCTGACTATCTGCGACTCCTCATCACCAGAAAAGACCTACTCAGGTACACACACATAAATACACAATCAAGGTGTATGTTTTGTAGAATATACGTGTTGTATTTTGAGAACAAACTTCGATTACAGAAACTATTAATTATAACCTAGTGTATCTTCCTCCACAGTGATTTCTACGAGAACTCAGCCCTGATGCTGGAGGAGGAGGGAGCAGTGATTGTGGGCCTGCTGGTGGGCCTGAATGTCATCGACGCCAACCTATGTGTCAAAGGCGAGGACCTGGACTCTCAGGTGACCACTTTTCTGAAACCATATTCAGCCATTTGACTGGAAAAATACATTTACACAGAACATTATATATGGTCTTAATCTGCGTATGCCCTCTGGACACAGTCTCCAAATTTACAGCTGAATGTGCCATTTTCTCCTTCACGATGCCTGGATTATTTTACAGATTTAACAATGGTGATTTCTCAATACTATTGTTGGCATTTAATAGTGGCTGATCACATTTGAATTGTTTGAAATCACTTTCCCGTGTGAATTTTGAAAAACAACCAACATTCCTCATTTTTAAGTTGCTTTGGTTGGTTACAGCAGCTCAGTTCCTAATAACTCGGTTCACCAGATCAATAGTTGTGCAACACTCACATACTCAGCAGATGCTTCCTTCCTCGGGGGAGGAAATCAGCTAAGCTTTTACTCAGGTTTTATTTTCATGCTCTTTTTAAGGTTGGGGTGATTGATTTCTCCATGTACTTGAAAAACGACATCGATGATTACAGGAGCGAGGAGAGGTATGATCAGTCATTGTTGCTGTAGTTTATTTAATACACCGGGTCCCTTTTTAAATTTAATGCAGAACTATATTTTATGTCTGTTTCCATGACAACAGGAATAGCCAGATAGCATCCATCTTGGATCAGAAGAACTATGTAGAGGAACTGAATCGACAACTCAAGTAAGTATCATTTATTGAAAACTGAGCCGTCTCCAGGGTTTTCTCCAGATTTCATGGAGATGATAGCGTTACAAAGTTTTGGGTTTAAAATGGAGTGTGTTATTGTTTTATACAAGCACTTCTTTATTTCTTCCTCACATTAAACTTTACCTCTGTAGCTGATATATGTTGAAAAAGATCCAGTAACATAAAATCAGAGGAATGAAAAGTTCTCTTGATGTTTACAAGTTTGCTGTAAATTGTACCACAAATACTATATAAATGATGGCACAATAAACTCTTTGAGACTATGTATGAACAAATGAAATTAGTTTAATTATAATATTATTTTTTTTTGTGTGTATTTGTACATCTAGCTCCACAGTCCATGGTCTCCAGGGCAGAGTGGACTCTCTGGAAAAGTCCAACTCCAAACTCATAGAAGAGGTGAGACAGAATGTCTGTATATTAGAATATTAGAGTGAAGATGAAAGAGGAAACTGTAAAATCAGCTGTTAATTAAATCAAAACATCTTACTATTTCAACTAAATGTTTTCGTGCCATATTTACTTCATGACTAAAATGCACTCAGTCAAACATTATTGTATCATTTTGGTTCACCTGCTGTTACTGGCATAATTAATTGTCTACATGCATCATATGTTTCTTCATGTGTGTATGTGCAGTTAGCCATAGCCAAGAACAACATCATCAAACTGCAAGAAGAGAACCAGCAGCTGAGGAGTGAAAACAGCATCATTCTGCTGAAAGCACAACAACATTTAGAGGTACACACACACACACACACACACACACACACACACACAAACATGTACGTGCTGTTTTAGTATACATTTTGCCATTTAAAGTGACATTTATAACCCGTAGATATAAACCTTGTACATGTTCTTTTTCTAGGTGACCCAAGGTGATGTGTCATTGGAGAGAGACACTTACAAACAGTCTCGTCAGGGTTTGGATGAGATGTACAACGAGGCCCAGAGACAGCTGAAGGAGGAATGTCAGCTCAGACAGGTCACATTACAGCTGCTTTGTGATACAAATGCATGTGCTATACATGCTGACTGTGTAATAAATGATCATTTATGTAATTTTGCTGTATTTTTTTAGGATGTGGAGAATGAGTTAGTTGTCCAGGTGTCGATGAAACAGGAAATGGAGCTGGCCATGAAACTTCTGGAGAAAGATATTCACGAAAAACAGGTTTGACTTCCCTCCATTTTCTTTTTTGACAGTACAGAAAGGATGCTGTGTGTCTCCATAGCAACCTACAGAGTGACCAACTGAATACAATCACAAAACTTGATTCAATAACGTACAAACATGCCAGACCTGTGCGCACCTGAGGCTGAGTCAGTAATCTTGTGCTCGTCTCTCTGGTACCAGTGACAGGCCTCAAGCCCCCAACCATGTGAACTCTGTAACTTAAACAGCCCCAGCTGACATTCGTAGTCAAGATGTGACATACAGATGATGCCATGATGGCTTTATCATGACTTTTTCAGGGAAGCTGCTGGGATCATTAAAACAATATCAGCAGCTGAATCAGCTGTCACACTGAGAAATGATTCCTGCATCTTTATCACTGGGGGTGTATTTATGTTATGTGCTGCTACATGTAGTTTGACCTATTTTAATTTCAGCTTGCATAGTATTTCTACATGAAATTTAAAATGACTCAAGTACAACTGACCTCCAAAAGTAATAATCAGTGCTGAGATCAGTCTTCTTGGGATAAAGAAGTAAATTCATGAATGAAATGCAAACAGAAAGCATCTAAAATCAAATATAAATGAGAGGTAATTTCACTTCTGTTGAACTGCTGTAGAAAATCAGAAGCATTCATATGACAGTGTGAACAGTGCAGCCAGAACTGGGCCACAACACAGCTATGACCTTTGCTTTCAATTAACAGGACACACTGATTGGACTGAGACATCAACTGGACGAGGTCAAATCCATCAATGTAGAAATGTACCAGAAGATGCAGGTACACACACACAAGCTCACACTTAACTTCATATCATCTATAAGACTAATAAATGAAGTAGAAATATTGTAATCTTTCTTTCTTAGTCGTCCGATGAGGAGATGAAGAAGAAGAACGATATGATCACTCGTCTGGAGGAGAAGACCAACCAGATCACTGCCACCATGAAGCAGCTAGAGCAGAGGTGAGATACGCTATCTGTAAAGACACAGCCCACACTCTAATCACAACAGGAAACCCACTCTGTCCCCTGTGTCTCCTCATCAGCCGCCTAAACCACGTTCTGTGTTCTTTGAGCAACAGTTTTCTTTTATTTAGCTGAAAATACACAAAAGCCCTTTGGGAAAGTTCAATCATCTTGGAGCCCTTTTAACTGCACTGACAATGACATCACCACACAAAATTATATAAGAAGTGATTTAGCTGAGAAAGGAATACTTCTCCATCCAAACGTTCAGGTTAGTTTTCTATCTTAAATGGTTTCGAATATTATTAAGAGTTCTGCAGAATTTATCTACGCAGCTATGCAGAAGAGAATTCGGGAAATGGGGGGAAAAGTATTTGAGCCTTCTGCCCCATCACTAGTGGGCAGACCTCTCCTCAGAAACAAGTTAGGAGGTAGAAATGCCTTGTGTTTCCTATCAGGCTTACAGTACAAACCCACCAAAAGTGACATCACTAGGGGTTTTAACTGACATTGCATTGTGGGATGTGATTGGTAAGAGTTTCATCTGCTGAGCTGAAGCCAACATTGTCTATTGTGATCTATTTAGTTGACGGCAGTTTAAACAGTAGCCAGATTTAGACAGTATGTGGTCTCTGTTATGTGAAATAATAGATTTCTTAGGTTTGTCACAGGCACATTGAAACTCTCAAGGAAAAGAACAAGCATGCTATTTCACAGAATGACTGTAGCTGTTGTTAGGCCTTCACCTACTAACTACATCTATCACAAGGTGAGATACAGTATGTGAGTTTCTGAGTAGTTTCACTGTGGAAGTCTTTGATTAATCGTGCCTGATAAGATACACTGCAGATATTTTCATGCATATTCTCTCAGTCTGTGTGTAAGAGCTCAATCTCTGCATCAGTCATTTTAAAATCTGCTGTTTCATTGATACTTTACGATCCCTCCTCACTCCCATCGTCTCACAGTCAACACTGTCCATCCCTCCCCTCACCTCTCCCATTGGTTTAAATCTGTTCCATCCTCTTTGTGATTGGTTGTGAATGTTTTTTGCTGCTCTGAAGGTTTATGTAGGCTTGAAGTACACAGACCCTGGTTACACTTGTTATTTTCAGTGCAAGTTTTGTTGCAACTGAAAAAAGTCTGATGTAAAAAATGTTGTGATTAGAACTATTTAAAATCCAATTATTTACCATGGCATCTAATCAGAAATAACCCCCCCTCTTTAAATTTAACATGTTGACGTTAGAGATCTAACTACTCTTATGTTGATGGTATAGCTTTCTGCACAATTCACCTAAAAACTCTGGTCGTATTCAATTATATGACCTTATTACCTTTCTGTGCTTCTCTTCCCCACCTCTTATCATTACTCATACACTCACTGTAAGAGCAAATATATCCACACTGCAGAAATCTTATCACAGAGTGAACCTGGCAGCCTGAACCAGATTTTGGTGTTTTGATCCCTTTCATTTGCACTTCCTGTCGTGCTCGTGATGTTAAAAGCTTCTCAAAGTGTTCAGTGTAACCGGGGCCAAAAATACTGATGTATTGACATCCTTTCTTCCTTCCTTCCCTCCTTCCTTCCTTTTTCTCCTTCTTGCCTCCCTCCCTTTTGCCTCTTTTGTACCATCCATCCAATCATTCTTCCATTTTGCTCCCTGGAAACTTCCATGTTTATTTTATTTTCCTGATTTTCATCCATGCTCCTCTGTGCAGCGATAAGGACCTGCTAAGTCAGACCAGGACACTTGCTATGTCATTTGTTAAGTGTGCCAGCACAGACACGGAGCATCAGTACAAGCTAGTCAAGGACATCTCCTTCTGAGGACAGACACGCACACACACAAGGACACACGATTACTTATGACTGAATTAATACATGGACTTTACCTAAAGAAAGGGACATTCCTGTGTTTTTGCACATAATATTCAGATGGTTTTGTGGCCTGAGTGCAGCCACAGATTCAGATGAAACTGGAACACATTGTTTTGGTCTTTTTTAGTTAATGAAACATGGTCATCACCACCACAAGATGTTCTTTAGTTAAATTGCATTCATATGACTTAAGCAGCTTGGTTTGTGCTAAATGAGGAAAGAAACTTTTCTCAAAGTCAGATACAGTAAGTATCGGATTATTACCTCAGTTACACTTTAATAGAAACTGAAAGAAAACATTTTAAAATAATCATACTACTTTATCTATTCACTAACGTGCTCAGGCATGCACACACACATACATACACATGGTAGGCTTTCTTCCAGTAGTCAGTTTATATGCAGTATCATTAACAGTAAGATAATAGACAAAATGGGCTCTGAATTGTAATTTAAGAGGCACCGTTGTTGTTGTTGTTGTTCACGCTGAGTTAGAAGAAATAACAGTGAGCTGTCCCACTCATAACACAACTACTGAGTGGTTTTATCCTGGATCCTCCGAGCTGCTGGTTGGCAGAGTTGAGCGACGGTAGTATTTACCGTAGGGACCGTATAGAAGTTATTGTGGAGGGGTTACACATTAGGTGTTCTACTTTCTTGCCGGTGCACATTGCTGAAGGAGTGAACTGGTGTTTTCCTACAATTTTTCCGATCTTCCCGTCCTCCTAATAATTTTCTTTCCCACCTGTAATGGCATCCGTGTAGGCTCTGCTGAGATTAGTGAGTAACTGCTACTGTGCTTTGCAGATGGAACTGTTTTTACGTAGTGTAGACGACAATGTTTAGGTAGAAGCGAGAGAGGTGACATGAAAACCATCATATAACCTATAACCATAGTGATTCTACTGCCTTTTGTCACAGTCAGTCGCTGGTTTGCGCTGCATGTGTTGCACCTCCCGACCTGCTTCTGACTGACAGTGACCCTCACTGTGCCTGAAATCACTCCCCCATCACATCTCCCTATTTAACACCCACCCAATAGTTTACTCAATGGTGAGTAAACTAGCAGCAATTTGAGCAGCAAATTGAAATTTCAGGCACAATCATAATTTTGTGTCATCACTGGTATGTAACGTTTAAGATAATTTAAGATTTTTATATCTATAAAATCTTCAAAATATATAGCATACATTTCACACTACAATGTGAACATTCAAATAAAATTGCAGAGGGTAAATTACAAGAGAGCGATTTCAGTCACAGCCTATCTCTTTCTTGCTGTTTGTCTCACTGAAGATTCACCGAAACTGAAAACCTTGTGGGATTGTGTCACAGGTCACAGGTCACAGTTTGTATATGGTCAGTGGAACCAGCAGCTTCATGTGCTTTGTTTCTGCAGAACAGACAGCCGAGCCCAGTGTGAAGTTAGTTACTAAAGCTGTAAACCTCTGGAGCCTCTGTCAAAGGGACCCTGAATGTGTTGTTCTGTCTCGTCTTGGCATTTTATTGACTTTTGTGATCAGGACGTAATCATCCTACCTATGTTCATAGTACTGCAACTCATCTCAATTTGTAGAGGAATAAAAACTCTGTACAGCCGGTGAAAACTCACAACTACTGTCTTTTACCACCATGACAAATAAAGTTAGATGTTTGGAAATTGGTGTGGATGATCTTTTTTTATTTGCAGTTTTTAAAGTGGATCTCTAAAATCTATAGTAAAACTCAAGTAAAATCCTCATATGCCCAAAAACTTGCTATGAAATAAGCTTCCTCCCTCTGTTATATTGCGTGAAAAACAATAAAACAGCATATTTTCAAAATCAAAACGCTATGGTTGTTAAAAGTAAGTAAGTCTTAATTTCCCTCGCAGTGCTCAAAGATGCTGCAATCAGTTCGTTATTCTTTTTATTTCTTGTCCATTCAGTTCCCTCAAGTCGATATATTATTGTTTTTATCATATGTCTTTATTTTGGACTCATCTGCCCTTTGTATTCGTCACTGAGCTCATGGTCCGCCTCTCATCCCTGCACTCTTAAATTTTACTCTGGTGTTGTAACCATGCAAATTACAATGCCGTCCTTCACCCCAAACTTCTCCATTTACCCTCATCCATCGCTCCTTCAACCCCTCCAGTTTTTTCTCTCCTTGGTCCTGAGTTTGTCCCTGGTTATAATGGTGCAGATTACAGGAGGCTGAGAGGCACCGCACGTCGGCCGAGGAAGGAACCCGACGCTTCAAGCTGGACTTCGCCAACAAGGCCGACAGCCTGCAGCGGCAGATCGAACACAGAGAAAGACAACTGTAAGGAAAATACCCTCAAACACAGACTAACTGGTAGAATCACGCTTCCACATACACCAACATTTAACACCTGGACAATGAGCTGTTGATGTTAATGTTCTGAAAACTGTCATGGGCCTCATCTCCCTTAACAGAAGGAGTCTTTCCTTAAATTGTTTATTGTGATTTGAAAAAGCAAGACAAACAGTTAATACAAATATAAATCAGCGTGTCCTCCTCACTCTTGTTTGTGTTGCATGTATATGTTTGTGGTGCGTCTGTAGCCAGCAGCTGGAGACAGACCTGAAGATCGAGAGGGAGTGGAGACAAACGTTACAAAACGATCTGGACAGAGAGAGAGAGTCGGTGTCTGAGCTCAGCACAGAAGCGCTGCAGATCAACGGACTAAAAAAGGTCAAAAGAGAGGGAGAAAGAAACATACCAAGTGTATAATGTTATCGTGCATGTGATGAATATCTTCTCTTGTTTGTGTTTTAATATTTCTCCAGGAATTCCATCGTCTCCAGGATGAAAACATTCAGCTCAAGACCATCTGTGAAGACCAAGAACGAGCTCTCGAGGAGTTGGGCTCCAAACTCAGCGAGTACGTAATGATCAAATTACAAATGTTCTCTTCATTCAGACAACGCAGACACAAAGATGTATAAATAAATAGAGTTAAATAAATAAAATTAATTTACAAACCAAACTAAAAAGCTAGGTCTAGAGTTGTGTTTTCAAAGAGAGAGTCTTTATGTCCAGTGTTAGATTTTTAATGCTCAGTTAAATGTTAGGATTACAAATGTTGGTTTTCATGTTTCCTTAAGAATAAAAATCAGCCCTTTAAAAACATGTATTCTAATCGGTGTAAAGTTGTTTTCATTATTATTTCAGCTACAAAATCTATTCTATCTTAATTTAAATCACAAATTTTGCATTCTTGCAAACTAGTGTTCCCAACAAGCTGTTTAATTCTTGTCATCATCAGATCCAAACTGAAGATCGAGGACATCAAAGAAGCCAACAAAGCTCTTCAGGTAAAGCAGCGTTCAGTTGAAGAGAAACAAACATCCTGAATCTAAACCTTCTCACTCAGCAAGATCTTGAGTGTTAGATAAGATTCTATCAGAGCGTCAGTATAGTTTGTTGTGTTAAGATTTGATGTGTGTGTTGTTTCAGGGGGGTCAGGTGTGGTTGAAGGACAAGGAAGCCAGCCACTGCAAACTTTGTGAAAAGGAGTTTTCCATTTCAAGACGAAAGGTCGGTTTTCTATTTCTGCATTAAAAATCCCACCCAGTCACAGCTGCTGTTGAGAATAATCTGAAGGCCTGTGTTTGTTGCTGAGTCCACAGTCTTCAACCCATAAATTGAAATGTTCACTGAATGAGATATCTCAGGAACACCACAGGGAAAGGTTTTACTCAGTCTCAAGATTAACTGAAATGTGGGTGGTCAAAGGTCACTAGTGCACACATTTTGTAAATGTGATTTATCAGCTGTGCCCAGAGGGAATTCTGCTACATTTGGGTCAATAATTGAATTGAAGGATGACCTGATTAGATTTTGGAGGCCAAAGGTGTCAGTGACCTCATAACATATCTTTTAACTCAATTATTAATATGTTTAATATGACAAAATACATTTAAAACCTTTTATTGAATTCCTTTAGTCTTCACTACTTATCAGTCTGGACAGACATGAATGTAAACTGACACACAAGGATGCAATTCTTGTTTCCTGGGACAATCATCAGGCTTAGATCTCAGTCAGTAATCTGAAAAGTGTTTTACATTGAAGTCCACAATCCTCAATCCCTTGCTAAGTGAGATCCCAAGTTAGATGCCTCTTGAATAATATATATATATATATACCCGTAAATTATAGTGTCCAGCATAAAAAGCAGTATGTTGATAATGCATGTACAAGTGTTAGAAATGTCTTGTGATAACCTGTCACTTGAGGTTAGGTTGGCTTTTGGGAAGGCGATGAAAGATATTTCCCCTTTGTTAAATTTGAACCCATAATAAAGGACTCAGTTAATAGAAAATGAATCATGACATGAATCAAGAGTAAATTTCATCAACTTGACAGTTTATATGTATTTGCAATCCCAACACAAACAGCAGTATTTTTGTTCAGTGTTTCCAACTCGTTCTCTGTCTTCAGCACCACTGTAGGAACTGTGGGGAGATTTTCTGCAACAGTTGCTCTGACAACGAGCTTCCTCTGCCGGCCTCGCCAAAACCAGTCCGAGTGTGTGACACCTGCCACGCCCTCCTCCTCCAGCGATGCTCCTCCAACCCTACGTGAGGGAGTCCCACTCTGCTGTCAGGACTGTTTCCATCTATCAGAGCTGACACTCTCCAGTCCTCCTCCTGTAAGAACCCCCCCCCCAACTGACCTGAACAGTGTTTGCTGCTAGGAACGGATCCTGTGCATGGATGTGAAGGACAATTGATCAGTCTGCTAAACATGTTGAAGAAGGAAGAATCTCAAAGACACAGTCACCTCAAAGTCGTTTCTCTCTCAGGTCTGATGTCACTACTTTGTCTGCACAATATCCACTGTGTTAAATAACAGTTCACTATTTAGGCCTAGGCTGCTCACTGGGTACCTGAGAAATTGGGAATCGAAGTGTCTGCTTCAGTATCATAAACAATCATGACACGCCTCTGTCAATTCAGTTCTACTAAATATAAATCTGTTTTACCAATTAAACCATTAATTTACTGCCAATTTTAAATCAATGATCACAGAAATTTGATTTTGCCTTTGACTCACTCCAAGTGTTGCACTAGTTTTGCTCAGAGAGCGACATGACAGCAACACAATATAACAAAGTTAAAAGGTAATAAAAGAAAGGCTGTTACTGGTGGGATGATTAAAAAATACTTTACGTTGAACTGATAGTGAAACTGCAGTGAAGAGCACAGCTGCAGCTTCGTGCAGATGTTTTTCTCAACCTTCAGTCACATGTTTTGTTACACACATCAAGCAGTAAGTGCAAAGCCAAATACATGAGATTATATAATTTATATACCCACAGTACGGTGGCATTGTTACTGTTGAGCGTGACTCCAGATCCCCTTTATCTGAGGAACAGTGACACAAAGTGACATATAACTTTAAACTGGGTATATTAGCTTAAGTTAAAATCTGTGCCACAAAATGACCTACATTTTTTTGTTTTCAATGTTTTAAGTTCAGTTGTTTCAGAAAGCATCATGAATCTATTTTGTTCCTCCCATCATCAAAGGCCACAGTATGTTATGAAAAAGTCTGACTCATCAGATCTAAATATTCAGTGTGTAATGACACACCAGTTCCAGGAACAGTCATTCACTCTGTGTCTGCCATAACCAGACGAGTTCCCCATGAACACCCGATCAAAGGAACTAAAGAGGTTTTTTTGAACAATGTTAAAAAATGGTGCTAACTGTGCCTGTGTAAATGCAATGAATATTATCGACATGGTGCCAAAATTAGCCCTGTAACTGTAGCAGTCCTATACTAGCCATGCAAGCAGTCTTCATTAAAGGCATATTTCACTGTATGATAGACAAACCAATGCAGTGGATTCTGCATGAAGGACCAAGAGTAGCAACAGATGTCTTCACCACATATTTAGTGACTGATTTAAATTGAAGTCAGTCTCTACAACTGGCTCTTTGCACCACTGATGGCTGTTAGTGAAGACAAAGCCACAAAGTATGTTTGAACACTTTCCAATCATATATAATACTTGTAATATAGATTGATTTTAACGTATTTATAATTAATTGGGTTTTATACTCATTCATTATGAGTCCAGGGAACTGGTTTTGAGTTTACCCTGTTAACTTGAATTTAGATGTAATCTGTTGTAGAAGAACCACATTTTACTGTTGCTCCATTCCTGAGAAGCAAAGTCTGAAACTCTACACGATGTTTTCTTTATTAAATCAGGATAGAAAGCTTGAGTTTTGTGAAATTGATGCTGATGACTGTGTTTCAGTGACAGGTTATGAATTCCTATAGCACATTCTGGTTTTGCACTCCTACACAATGTTTACAACCTGTGAATTTTTTTAAAGGACAGTAAGTATTCATTCCCGTGAGATAAAACAGACCTGGGTTGATTTCAGTTTCAAGTGTTTTCTTGTCACAAATATTTGTAAACTATCTCACATTTTATCATATAATCATAGAAAGTTGTACAAGGAAATGCTTCTGAAGTGCACCCAGGCCTGGAACACTGAGCGTAGTGTTGCTCTTACAAATCTCCCAGCTTTCAGTGGGACTTGTACAGTGTTAATACGACTGTATGTTGTATATACACAGTGTTGATTATCACTGTGGCTCTTTAGCTTACTAAATCCTGCCACTTTAATATCAGCTCTAGTGCCAATGGTTTGTTGCCTTGACTTTCAGATTAAATCAAGATACAGACAATGATTTGTGTTGGTTACTGTCATTTCAATGGACGTGAGTTTCCTACTGTTTTAGCTGCTGTTGTTGCACTGTTGTCCAGTTTAAATCAGTCAAGTCTAATTTGTTTAGTTTCTTCATTACACACCTCATAAGAAGAGTTCAAAAAAAATATTCAGTTGTTTTTACAATAACATGTCAGTCAGGGAGGCAAGTGGAGAATTAAATATAAAATTTATTAGGCAAAATGTACAACAGCTGCACAGGCATCTTACAGCTCAAATATAGAACCTTTATTTCATTTCCACTCTTTGAGAGCGGAATATAATATTCAACTTAGTTTAATTCTTTAATGAACTGTGAAAACATTCATAAAAAAACAACAGCTCACATTTATCACAACTTTTCAAAGCAGGAAAGCTGATGTGAAATCAGGTTGAAACTAGTGAGACAATAGTTAAATATTCTGCTGAGAAGACGTTTTTAGTGAAATCAACAGTTTTAAAAGTGGTTTCAGTCACCTAAAAGTGTCATCAAATGACCATGCTCAGTTCTAACAGTGCACCGATATTCACAATCCTATTTATAGCCCACAAAATCCCACAGCTGTTTATCTGTGTCTCCTCCATGCTCCTGAGTCAGCACTGATTTACATCTCTTACCAACAACTGAGATGTGTAAAAAGATAAATTAAAGTGCATCTCAATGAAATAATATTTTTTTCCAATTTCAATCCAATTAAAAAACTGGTTATTATTATTATTATAAAAAAAACTATACTAGGATTTCCAATAAAAAAAAATATTAGAAACATCGATGCTTCAATCATGTTCAGCACCAACAACAGCTACTATATGTTGTTTTGTTCTTCATATGCTTTCAGCAACGGTGAGATTAAAGTGCTTGTTTAAGTTATATTTGGTCTGTTTGTAGTGAAGGTGAAGTTATACTACGACCCTACAGAAATAACAACGGCTTGAACGAAATAAACTAGTGATTGTATCAGTATTCCTGCTTAGAAACTTTAGCTGAGTAAATGTGGTCTAAAGAGATGTGAGACAAAAACCTGGGATGGATCAGAAGAGGGATGACTTAATCAGTAAGCACTTCGCAGCCCGCTGCTCCGTGAGCCTCCACCCCCTCCTGAGTTACTGTAGTAACCACCACCGCCACGACCTGAAAGAGGTGTGAAAGGATAGGTCAGTCTAGAGAAAATGCAATACGTCTCAAGACAAGAATAGCTCATTGGACTGTAAAAAGTGAATTTGACTGGTGATCAAACTTCATCTATATAAAAACTCACTCATTTCAGCTGCTCCGCTGGCGGTCGAGTTGAGAAACAGCTCGATGTAGCGATGCTCTGTAGAGAAAACATCAGTTCATCATTCAGCCCATTAGAGACGATTTCACACTACATGACTTTACAAGTCGTTGGATCACTGCAGTTCACACTACACAAATTGCAGTATTGTGATGAGTAGTTTTTGTTAGTTCATACTACACGACTCACTGGGTCACACACTACAAGATCTTTCACCAGGAGGAATGCCTGACTGTTCTCCAAATTATGTTTAATCACAAAAATACACGTCAGAAGAGACACAGTGAATCAAACTGATCCCCAAGCTCTTCTATGTCATCCTGCACACAGAATGACGGATGAGATGAGACGCCAGTTGAGTTTTCATGTTTGTGTTATTATTCTGCTTCAGTAGAAACAACAGACCCACTCAGCTATTGGTCAGGAAGTACTTCTGTGTGATGATCATTGCATAATGTGGCGTAAAAACGTGGTATCACTAGGGCCAACAAGAGTGCAGACAAGCTGAAGAGGAAAATGGAGCACGTACGCATGTGGTTCTTGTCTTTGGACATGGCTGCCACAGCATCTTCATGGGAGCGAAACTCCACATCTGCCTCTCCAGTCGACTTCCCGTTGGGAGCCACATCAATGTGAACCCTCAGTGGATTCATAGGAGAGAAGAACTACATGAAGAGAGAAAGACGGACACACACATATATCCACATGAACAGGCCGACAGACAAACAAACCATCTGTCACATAGTGTTTTTTATTTAAATGTTTATTCAAATGTAGCTGGTCTTCATTGGCTTCCTGTCTTACACTATACAGTATGAATACAAGAAACACAGAAACAGGAAAACACAAACAGAAAGAGGGTTCACAAAGTTACATATTCAACATATTCAGTTAGAGAATCAGATGTTTTTGTCAAGAAAAATCCTTTAACCCTTTAAATATACTTCAGCAAATGAAATTTAGGAGCTTTTTCTACCTGTAAATAAACTTGCACTGTAGGAAAGTGTGTAATAATAAATAAATAAATAATATGTGTGTGTTCCTACCTTAGCGATGTCTCCCTCTGTGGCACGGAAAGGTAGACCCCTCATATGAACAAAATGGCCGCTGTGAAAGCCTGAGCCACCATCAGCTTGACCACTATAACCATGGCCTCCCATCCCTGAGCCCAAACACACAAGCACACAGGTCAGTGCAGTCCACAAAACGGTGATAATAATGAAAAAGACTGTGGTTATACATGTGTTTTTAAGTTCTTCATATCTTTTTATAAAAGTGAAATCTTCATTACTTCAGCCTCCTACGAGAGGTTGTGTTTTAGTTATGGTAATGACGAGCCAAGATGGTCAGAAGCCACTGTTTTACAAACTTAAAAATGTGTAAGTGTTGAATAAACTTTATTTTAAAGTGAAAACATGTCAAATGAAAACAGATTTTTTTTAAATGAGTTATTGGAAAAAATGTTAGCCTTTCAGCAGGGCTGATAACCTGTGTGTAGAAACTAAGGTTTTTAAACAAAAAATCAGTATCGGTCTGACTGCCAGTCTCTGGGTAAATAGATTCTGGACTTTACCTCTTCCACCCCTCTCTCCTCTCACTCGCTCATCAAACATGCCGTTGCCAAAACAGTAGTTGTCGAAACCGTTGTAACTGTCAAAGCCACTGTAACCTGGACACAGACACCAGCACAGAGGAACAATAGAAGGCTTCACATGTCAATTTAACATACATAGAATATCAAACATCTGAAGCAGGGGTCAATGGATGGTAAAACTTCTGTGGGTTGAAAATGGAAATAATGATGTTTATGGGCCAATGAACTGATTAATCAACCCCTTCACCAGCAAAGCAAAGTGGCTCAATGATGTTTATGTAAACTTATTGCTGCATAGTGCTGATTGTACTGATTAATATATTGAAATATGGACTTAAAAAATTCCTTCATAGGAAAATATAATTTTAATATAGGCTTCTTGATGATTTTGAGTTCATAGCAGCTTGTTCCAGTCAAAAGACTTATTCTTTGTGTTGATTTTTTAAATGTTTAACAGCACCACCAAAAACATAGGGTGAGGGGAATTAAAATGGTTTTAATATCGCTTTCTGCGATATCACATTTGACTTTTCCTGTACCATCAGTTTCACTACTCATCAATTACACTTAATGCACAAAAACAAAAAAGTTGCTTACCTCCTCCATAACCTCCTCCGCTCCTCATGGTGTTCATCAGAGTCCCACCACGGCCGAGCCCCGGTCCAAAAAACCCTCCACGTGGGCCCCCCATCATGGGTCTATCATAGGGTCCTGGTCTCTGGCCTCCCATCCCCCGACGGGGCAGCTCATAGTAGGCTCTGATCTCATTACGACTGCTCTTAAAAATCTCTATATACCTGTAATATAAGAGGCCCGTTGGGAGGAGGGGTTAGAGGTAAAGGGTTATGTTGTAGATCAGGTTACATCAAGAGATATGATTTACAGAGAGACACACAAAAAAAACTTCTAAATAGTTGTCTAAGTTGTTTTATCCTGGAGATCGAAGTCTGAATGACAGAACAACCTCAACTAAATGTCGTCAGTAGCTGGGCTTAGGGCTGAACTTGATGTCTACACCAACCCCACCTCTTGTTACTTTCAGTTAAAGAAATCCTTACAGGGCTTTTAGGTGTTCCACTGATCGTTTTAATTATTTACCACAGCAGAAATAATCTGATGCTTCACTGGTGGAGGGTACATTGACTGTTCTCTGCTAGACTTTAAAACTTATTCCCCTCTTTCACAATAATGATACATGTATGAAACAGTATAAAGGAAGTTCTAGTAAAATGATCGAATATACCCAAATGTTGCTTTAACACAATTAAATAGTGCCGGGTCTTAAATGACCGCCTGTAAAACTGTCTATGGCATTTAACAATCACAGCACCATTAACTCAAAGTTTAGACAATGAACTTTCATCCAATTTTCAACATGTCACCATAATTACAACACATGAACCCATTAAACCCAACCCATTAGTATTTTAATTAATATTACATGTCCCACCCAATTCATTGACCGTTTAATTATGACAATTAATTTAGCACACCAACCCATGCTTATCATTCAACCATAACAGAACCAATCCCATTAACACCATATTGATTCTAATATGACCACCCATTAAGTACTACAGTAGAAGCCCAACCCAGTCCAGCCCGTCCCTTTCCCATCTGTCCCACCTGTGCCCTATTCTTTCCTTGTGTTTCCCCAGAGCCTTTTCTGCTATCTCCTTTGAGGCAAACTGCACGAAGGCTTCCCCTGTGCTCCTCCCCTGGTAGTCCACGGGCAGAGTAATCCCATTTGGCACGATTCTCAACCCTTCAACCCAAGCACACATAAATACATAGGTGGGTAGGTAGACTGATATAGAATAGATAGAACAACACCCACTGCATCACTGGAGCTTTTAGATTTAATAAACGTCATGACAGCTAATAAAAGACAACTGTGGCATCTCATAAGACTGCATTAGAAAGGGGCATCTCAGAGGAATTGTCCAGCAAAGGACTAAAACAAATACTGACCTGGAGTCAGGGTAGGACTTAGAATTATAATGGATTCTGAATTTACATCATTGGCCAAATTCTTATATATTAGTGCTGAGTGACAGATCAAATATTATTAATATGTTGATTTTATCATTTTATAAAGAGGCTGCCAGTAAGAAGAGTCACAAAATTGACCCCAGATCAGTGTCACAGGACTGTCTCCCTCAAACCAGCCAAACCAGCCCAGCCAATACTATTACATTTACTATTGTTTAACCCTGAAGCATGACGTGTAGTTCAAAGTGGTCAAAACATGCTAAACATTGCGTGAACACTATTGAGGTAAACAGCATTCTAACAGTTCTTTACGAGGGCAAATTAGTCAACACAGTATAACTGTACTTCAAACACTTCACCCACAAACATAAACATAAACATACATTAGGGCCATGACACATCGGTTGTATGCAGATACAATGTTCTAACTACCTCAGGGACAGACGTTTGTAAATAATGTACATCAGGTTTGTAAAAATTGTTTTAATATGGAGATCGATAACATGAATGTTGCTGTATGTCAATGTTGTTGTGTGCTTGTTTGAGGCTGATTCACTGTATGAAGAGTTCGAAGTGCAGTTGGCAGTAATCATGACATAATCAGTCACATTTCCTAATGTGGCTGTAATTTTCTCAGTACCTTACACTGTGTTGAAAGGGAAAAAGACTTTGTCAACAGTGTCTGTTAAAACTATCCCTCAAATTAATGTGTGTAATATCAGGACAATTCAATAGAGTGTTTAGAAGTGTTTATGTACCTGAGAAGAACTGAACAATCTCCTCCTTGCTGCAGCCAAAGGGCAGGCCTCTAAGTCTCAGCATGCAACCACTGCAGCTGTCATAATCAGCAGGACCACTACGCTTCAGCACCCAGTCCATTTCACTACGGTTTGACTTGAACACTGATTCAGATACACAGACAGATGAAAATAGCATAACAAACACATTACGCCATACTGCATGTCATTTCAAAGGACAGTTTAACTTTGAATAAGACACATACATACAAGTCGTCACACACATGAAAATATCTGAGAAAAGTTTATACAGGGTAATCAGTCAAATGATGACTAAAACATTTGCATGTAAAGCAAATACATGGTAAAACTATCATAAAAGTAACTGTTAGCAACCAGGTTATTTGTATTAACATTACATAACACAGCAACTATTCAAAGAGAAACTCAGGAAAAATACTGATTCATTTATTATCTGTTATGCCTGTTTACATGGCTTACCCTCTATGTATCTGTGTCCCATGTATTTTCGGTCCTTGGAGAGGGCATTCTTGAAATCCTCAGATGTTTTGAGCTCAATAAACGCCTCTCCACTGGGACGGCCTTCTTTAGAGTAGGTGAAACACACTCCGTTCACTTTGCCAACGATGTCACAGTCTGTAAATCATAAAGACTCCTTAAAATGATGCCTATACAGAAAGGAATATCTCACAATAAAGATTATAACTGGGTCCAGTCTAATTTAAGTATTTAGAATGGAAGTGTGTGTGTGTGTGTGTGTGTGTGTGTGTGTGTGTGTGTGTGTGTGATCTCACCAGAGAAGAAGCTGGCCACCTCCTCCTGTGTGCAGGACCAGGGCAATCCTCTGATCCGGACCACGTAGCCCTCATCATTCAAAGACATCCTCACTGCCACAGAGAGCACAAACATAGCAGCATGACATTATGTTGTCTCACACACACACACACACACACACACACACACACACACACACACACACACACACACACACACACACACAC